CTCTGGCCTCAATAGTTGATGAGCAGAGTTTACTGTTTTAGTACATAGCAGATCTAGTTTTTAGACTGTTTTTTAGACTGAGACCGCTCAGGTCTCTATCACAGGCAGGAGTTAGTAAACAGCAATAAAGCACATGAGATAACATAAACTGAACACCATTATCTGTTACTATACTCAATGGATTTCCATGGTGGCTGAAGACTGATGACAGACGAAACCCCAGAATCAGTAGTAAGGGTGTCACGATTTCGATTTTAAATCGAAATCGACCGAAATTAATTTACAATCTCGAACTTCGAATTAAAAAATGGAATCGTCGATGCTGCCACGCCCCCATGTCGCGTCCGGTCGGCGTGCCAAGCGGAAAAAAACACACGTGTTGAAGTGCTGCGAGTCTATGGTCAACCTCCTCTAACTTAGCTTCAGCCATTCAAAAGATAGCAACTGCAGATGCAGGAGACCCATCGACAGAACTTTTTTCTCCTCTTTCATTGAAGTCACAGGTGTGGAAGGTTTTTGGATTTCCAGTGAGTTATGTTGACAATGTTCGCGCTTCAAAAAAGCCACAGTTTGCAGACATCCCAAGCCTCGCGGAAGTTCCGGGAGTCTCCCGCATATTGATAGCGGCTCCCTGATGCCCGCAAATTAGTTAAAATCTTCCAGAATCTAGAGTGAGCGAGCAAGAGCTCGCATACGAGACAGAAAAAACGGTGCTCCAAACCGTATAGTGTGCGCATGGCAGAGAGGGAGAGAGCAAGAGACCTTGCGTGTGTGCCTCATGAACCACATGTAAGACAGAGAGCATCCTGATTGGCCAGTTTCGGCTTAAAAAAAAAAAAAGTAAAAATCGAGAATCGAATCGAACCGTGACATTAGAATCGAAAATTTTATCGAATCGAGGATTTGGAGAATCGTGACACCCCTAATCAGTAGGGACATTGAGAGAAAAGGAGACCTCAGTTTGCTGTGATAATTAGTTAATGTTATAGCAAACCAGCAGTCGGATGCAGCAGTGTCAAATGGCCTGACAATATCCACAGCCACTTTCTGCCATGGTCCACCTGGCAGCGGCACCTGCTGGAGAGGAGCAGTGTGTGACTTGAAAGTTTTGTTATTGAGCTGACACACGTAGCAGGAACAGACAGCATCATGAACCTGAGCATCCATCCACCAATAGAGATAACAAAGGCGTTTTTTGCTTCTCACCTATACCTGATGTCCTTTGTGTGCTATATGGAGACCAGCACAGATCGAAGAGCAGCAGGTACAATCAGCTGTGAGCCTCGGAAGAAGCTGTCTTTAACAGTTCCAATGTGCAGTCCCTTGGGTGAAGGAGGTCAACCAGTGGACATCTGTGAACGAAGTTTGGTTAGTGCAGGGCAAGAAGCACATGCAACGTCAACATCAGCAGCAGGCAGAGAATTACAGGCAGCAGATAGAAAAGCAGCGAACTCTTCATCAACATCATCAACAGGAACTGGAGCAACAGCATTATCTGCAGGAGAAGCAGGTAAGGGCAAGCATGACTCAGCAACAGTGCACTGAAAGACTGGCAGAGGAGAAGCAGTCACAGCGAGGGCATTAGGATGTTGGACTTGATTGCAGCAACACTTTGCTTCCTACATTTTTCTAAATAGGGGTCAAAAGGGTCTGGGATTTTCAATGGTCAGTTGAAAACTCAATCATATGCGCACTACTGAAATGTGAAAACGTTTTGATGACCCTCACCTCAAACAATGAATCAACTTGAATCCTGAAAGAGATTCAAACCAATAACCAACAGCAAAAGCAACAATCAACTAACAGTCTGTCAGTTTGTAGTTGCCAAGCAACAAAATTCACCATAAAACGATTTTTGAGAGTATAAACGCATTGCAGGTCTTTTGTCTCTTAATTTACATTTGACTGACATATACTGCACTTGATTGCAAAATGTGAAAATAAATTGGCAGACGGAAGCCTGGAGATTGTAAGTCAGATTTGTAAGTGAATAGGTGTCATGTTTTGTTATGTTTACTTTTGTCACTCTGCCTACAGGTTTTCATGATATACTACTAATGATATAATAATAACCGGATTATTATTTCACATTAACAAAATCAAATCATACCAATCAAAAACAAAAAAACTGAAAATGAAGCAATTACTGGGATCAATTATCTAGTACAAGTCAAATAACAAAAATGGCCCTATGTCAACTTGGTATTAAGATGTGTTTCCAGTGATCCAATGCAAGTAGCTTTGGATAAAAATGCTTGTCAGATGCATTAATGTAAATATGTAAATACTTATTAATGACCATGCCACAAGAGGGCGCCGTCATAAAAGTATAGATATATCATGTCCTATATTTCTTTCTCTTGCTTTACAGTTAAACTATAAAGTCATTAAGACATCCTGGACTAATTTTGAATTGCTATATTGGCCATGTTAAAACAGCAGTAGAATACGGTTGTCAGGCTTGTATTTGAGCCCTTAATATGGTTACGTTCACACACAGTTCAGTTACTTACTGGAGTGACAATAGCATTCTATAACATTTGAAATCACACCCTTAAATTTTCAGAACTCCCAACCGCATTCTTGGAAAACCTGCGCTGAACGGAACCAGACTGGACAACTAGTTGTCTTGACACGCATACAGTGTGAGGGAGTGCTCTGCGATGCACAAACACATGTCTACCTTTTGTTGTGGGGTTTTGTGTGATGTTTTGCTTTCGGTAACTTACAGCGCCGGAGATATGAGGTGTGTGTCATCTGAAGGTTTTAGATACAGTCACTGTTCTCCACCGGAACTGCTCCCATCAGTTCCCTTTTGAGAGAACTTCTACGCAGCATCAGAGATCACGCTATGGCAACATCTCTGCGTCATTGCGTCTGAAGCAAATGTGTAATCACTTTTGACTGTCACTTTGACTGTTTTCCAAGATGGCTCCTGTCTGTATGCGCTAACTGTACTGTCTGTGTAAAGTATCTTCTTATTAAACTGTCTATACACTTACAAAGTTCTCAATGCTTCGGTTTGCATGTAAGGACCCTCATTATGCTGCCGTGTTAGTGTGGGGCTAATTTGAGCCTTGTTGGTGGTATTAACTAGCGATCTCTTTTTGCTTACGCTATGCCCAATATACTAGCGTTATAAGCTAAACTGTTTTTAGAGATAAAACTCTTTACATTCGATTATCATGAAAACAAATCTCAGGGAACGATTTAGTCTGTATCAATGTGTTATTACACCCGAGGTTCATTTTGCGCCGGAGTTCTCCTTTAAGTAATATCCCATCTGAATGATTTTTCTTTGTAAATGAATATTTGAGGGACTGTTTCAATGCTTCATCTCTTTTTCTATCCATCTGCTGCTTTTTATGAATCTTATTCTAGGCAGATTAACGTAAAATATGCAAAAGAAATCAAATCAAAATAATATGTATCTTTACAGTATGCACAAATGTATATGATTTATGTTCATGAATTTGTCATTACTTTTATATTAATGTAATTGGCAGACACTTACAATGCATTAAAGTAGATTTTATTTGTATGTAGGTTATGCTAAATATATAATACATTGTTCCAAAGTCATAAATAGCCAATTTGTTTGTATTTTCAGACAATTCCTCCCACATTCCTTTATGGATTCATGTCACCATGAATAACACAAGCTTTGAGAGTGTTTTCCTTGGCCAACAAAATCAGAGTGAAACTAGACACTTCATTTCAGTTGTGCCAGCTTGACCATGTAATGGCTCTACGCCATCTTGTTCTCAGTGACCAAACATCCTCTTATTTTTAGAAAGGGTCAAAGCCCTGCAAAACTTGCAATGGAATCCTGTTGCCCACTTTAATACCTGTCGTCTTTCAACGAAAGCACCCTAAGTTTAGCAGCAGGTAAAAAACTGTCAAATTTGATGAACATTTCAATCCGATCAGTAAGTCTGATATCATGTGTCATGTCGTACGGTTCCAAACGCTCTATCAAATGCCAAAAGAAAACAACAAACAGTGCTTATACACAATACTACTGAAAAAATCATGATCCTAAACTTTATCTCATACTAAAATCCCAGATGGTTTATGATTATAAATCATTCAAATATTTGTATTTCTTACAGTCGGAGACGCCATGAAAACGGAGACTGTAGTGTATATCATAATTTTTTAAATCCTTAGCTTAAAGGGGTACTTCACCACTGGCAAAATGGGCTTTCAATAAAATTTGGCTACTTATACGGTAGAAAGGAGGAGTTGCAGAGCTATATTGCCTATATATTATAAAGCCTGTTTTTTTCCCTTTTGCCAAAAAGATAGGAAAACTACAAAGCCAATAACGCACTGGGCATGTTTCCGTCCAAAGCCAGTCCCACCAGTCTGCTATGGATATGCTACCAGAGTCAAAAACCTCCTTGCAGGGTTGCCAAGTTCATTGTTTTCCAGTGGAATTGGGCTAATTTTAAACTGTTGCTGCTGCAGGTTAAAAGGTTTGACATATTGCATAAATTATATTTGACTTAAAACTGTGCTAGATGTTATGTTTTGTTAAGGAGGGCCACCGAGAGCCTTAATTTGAGTTGTTTGTGATCATTACAATATAGTGGTTTTCAATTTGCATAACAGTGACTGTAAAATATGTATTTTAGGTATGGGAGTGTCATATTTTGAGTTTTTATATTTGGGATATGCTTTCGAATGAAATACTTATAAAACTTTTAGTCATAATGGTATCAACTTTTTTATTGTTCCGGGGTGTACGAGTTGAAAAAGTAAAAATTAAGGAGGCGTGAGTGCTCATAAATGGCTGTTGAGATTGTGATGAGTTTTCTCAAGTGAAATGAATAGAGGCTTGGAACCGGAAACAGCATTCCTTACGTCATAACTTAACAAGCGGATTGCTTGACTGGTCTGGATGTAATTTGAGTTTCACACTAGTTGATCCAATCCATATCTTACCCGTGTTCTGAGTGATATCCCCACCCTCCCCATAAGCTAGTCAACTTGTGCATGTGCCTTTTTAAAAGGGAGTGTAGGGACTGAGACCTGCTCTTCTCTGGGTGGTGAGCACATGGATTGGACCTTGTTCCTAATAGTTTGACTTTATTTAGGAACAAAGTAAAAACAAGCAGCTAATTTTTAACCTTTTCAAGTGAGGCATAACAGTGACATGAAGTGGGGTTGGGTGCTTTTAGGGGTTCTACTATCTTTTGCTTATCTGTGTTGGAGCGAAAAGGGCCTGGAGTTCCCTGAATATGACGGGAAGGACCGTGTCCATCAAATGACCAGCAAGAATTACAAATCTGTGATGAAGAAATATGACGTCATGGTGATCTACTTCCACAAACCTGTTGGCGAGGACCGCATGTCCAGAAAGCAGTTTGAAGTGGAAGAACTTGCTTTGGAGGTGCGTGGATAATTATGAGAAAGGAATGAAATTGGGAAAGATTCAAGGAATGAAGTGACCTTCAGTGAACCATTGGGTGATGGGGTTGAATCATAGAGAGGCTAGTAGGGTTCTGGGGCCTCATTTATAAAGATGTGCAAACAATGATCCTAAATATGAATGTATGACAGTTATTGAAATGTCAAATGACAATAAATAAATAATAAATAAATAACAAATAAACAAATAATAAAAAAAAAAAACAAATAAAAAGTAAGTGTTTGTGCTGCCTGAAAATTTTGTTGGATTAAAATTAAGTTGTATTAAGTGACAGCTATTTTAGCTATCTTAAGTTAAATCCAGGAAAGTTATTCTAACTCTAAATTCTAAGTTGTGATAACGCCTGTGAAATGTTTCTAAATTAATCTCTTTTTATATATTAAAGTTCATCTTAAAGTCAAGTGGAATCTGTACAAGTGCATCAGCTACAGATGCCAAAATTATCTTTTTGGTTCAGAAGTACGGCACTCACTATATTGCTCATTTGTGCATATAATTATATGAATGCATATTGTGATCACCTATTTATCTTTACATTGATCTATATTTTCATAAACAATGTTGAATTAATTGAATTACCGGTATAAAAGCACCAAAAAATGTGTGTGAACATTCTATCAATGTCAAATAATATTTTTACATTTTAAAAAGTAATGTAAAATTTGTTTAAGCAAAAAAAAAAAAAACAAGCTCTTTATTTCGCATGTACACTCACACGTACACTCTTATGTACACATAAGAACGTCTTTATAAATCCCAGTATGTTCCTCTTTTTTGATGTAGGATAATATCCATGGTATTTATTTGTACATGCATTTTATGAATGATTGTCTGGACTCTGTCCTGACCTGGAATGATGAAAGCTCTGCCATTTATACCTAATATCTCTCTGATGTGGTCTATGAATTATTATTAATATACTTACAAACGTGTTTCCTGCTGTGATTTTTTGATAGACGTGATAATGCTAACTGAAGATCAGCTAGCTCTTCTCAGCTGTTGTCAGTGTTGACGTTTTTAGATCACTGCTGTAAGTGTCCTATTACAGTTCAGCTGAGCTTCTGTTAGTCCCTCAGTGAGTAACTGTAGTGCACCCACCAAAAAGAAAAATCTATCAAGGGTTGAGTGCTTCTATGACTCTCTCTGTCATTTATTTTTTTATTTTGGTTTTCAGTCTTTGTAACTCCAAGGTTTCCCATCCCTCTTGCAAAATAACATTCAAATGCTTTCCTGTGATGGATTTGACATTTCCTTTTGAAATTATGATAGAGGTCAAACTTTCAACTACCAGAAACTAAGGCTGTCAATACAGTAAAATATGTTGATATATCTACATTACCTCGCTAATATTGTGTGTCGATGACGACACTTTGGGGAATGCCCCCAGCGTAGCATGTCTGAAGCATGAATGAAACTATTCCAATCCTGCATGGAAACTATTCCAATCCTGATCGTTGCATCATGACGTAACGTGATGGCATACACGGAAGCTACAAAGAGACGCTGGCACACAACATAGTTAGCTTTTGCGATGAAGCAAGTTGCTTCCAGGCAGGGGAAGGCGTGGCGAAGGGACGCAGTGTCTCGTTCCCTTCTCAGGGTACAAGGGTTACAGTCGTAACATGAGAAGTTCCCTTTCGAGGGAACTCGCACTGCGTCGATGGCGACACTTTGGGGAACGAGTACCCACTATGCCACAACGAGGCCTGCCTGTCCCAGTGTGAAGCTGCGCACAGGCACACTTAGGATGAGAGCACTAGAGTGCCTGGCGTAGAAGGAATGTCCAGGCTATAGAATCTGATAAAAGTATGAGGGGTGGCCCAATGAGGGGTGGTTGAATGAGCCCTCAAAGCCAAAGGTGAAGGCAAGCTGTGCACCTGAGAGCCCATAAAGATAGCCTGAACGATCCAGTTACTGATGGTCTGTTTGGATGCGGGAAGCCCTTTCTTGGGCGACCCGAAGCACACCAGCAACTGATCTGACAAAAATCTTGAGAGCTCTGATAGGGCAGAGCAAATTAAGTCTTTCTTCATCTGCCGTCACGTGAGGTGGGGGATGAAAAGCCTGCAGAAACGTAGGCTGTACCACATTAGGGATGCATGATAGCCTTAATATTGCCTGGAGCAAACTCCAGGCCCCCGTGAGCTATAGAAAGGGCCTGAAGATCTCCTACTCTCCTCAGAGAAGTAATTGCTAATAAAAAAAAGCTACCTTGAAGGAAAGGTTAACCCTAACCCTAACTCCAGAGGTTTGAAGGGGGCCTCAACCAGCCCTTCGAGAACCACTACCAGGTCCCATGTTGAAACTCTGGTATGAGCCGCAGGTCTCATCCTCCCAGCCCCACGGAGGAAACGTACGACCAGCTGATGTCTCCCCAGAGGCCCATCACCCAGAGGAGTGTGGAAAGCCGCAATGGCAGCCATGCACACCTTGAGTGTGGACGGGATAAGACCAGCCGAGAAGTGATCTTGGAGGAACTCCGGCACTGAAGCCATCGGGCAGTTAACTGGGTCCACCTCACTCTCTCTACACCAAGTGGTGAAAACATTCCATGTTAGGCCGTACAATTTCCTTGTGGATGGAGCTCTAGAGCCGAGTATGGTCTCGATTACTCCTGCAGACAGGCCAGCCTCTCGGTACTGTGCCCCCTCAGGGGTCAGACCCACAGTTTCCATAACTCTGGTTGAGGGTGAAATATTGAACCCTCTGCCCGCTGACGGGGATCTCCCATGGAGGGCTCTCTAGGAGCGATATTATGTCTGAGAACCATACTCGGGCTGGCCACAACGGGGCTAATAGCAGTAGACAGACCCCGTCGTGACGAACCCTTTCCAGATTTCTCCCGGGAGTAGAGCAATCAGGGGAAATGCGTACAGACGCAGCCACAGCCACGTCTGCACCATGGCATCCAACCCCAGCGGGGCTGGATGTCTGAAGGAGAACCACAGTGGACAGTGTGTCGTCTCTCAAGACGCATCGTAACCGAGTCCCACACCACCCCCAGGAACATAGTTCTCTGGGCAGGTGAAAGCACTTTGTGTTGAGTCTCAACCCCAAGCTCTAGATTCAATTCAATTCAATTCAAATTTATTTGTATAGCGCTTTTCACAATACATATTGTTTCAAAGCAGCTTTACAGAAAGTGCATTTCAGAAATGTACATAGAAGAATATAGTTAGTTAGTCATCATGTACTAATTTAGGGCATAACATATCGCCGGCGTTGAGTCGTCTCTTCACAGGCGTCGAGTCGTCTCATCGCAGGTGTTGGGGCATCTGAAGTCTCCGTGAGAGTCTGGATACAAACTGGAGCTGACGAACGCTATTTACCTCGGGACTAGCGTCCCGAGATAACAGCAGAAAAGCAGATGGGAAATAATTAGCGTAGCTGCTGTTCATAATATTAATGCATTCGATCTGATTCAACAATAGAAGGTAAGCATTATGTGAATGCTTGGCTAAAGAGATGCGTCTTTAATCTAGTTTTGAACTGGGATAGCGAGTCTGAGCCACGAACAGTATCAGGAAGGCTATTCCAGAGTTTAGGAGCTAAATGAGAGAACGCCCTCCCTCCTTTAGTAGACTTAGATATCCTAGGAATGACCAGAAGCCTCGAATTTAGTGATCTTAACGAACGCGATGGATAGTAGGGCGATAGAAGGTCCATTAAATACACAGGAGCTAAACCATTTAGGGCTTTATAGGTCAGTAGTAGTACTTTGTAATTGATACGGAACTTAATAGGTAACCAGTGCAGAGATGATAAAATCGGTGTTATATGATCATATTTTCTTGACCTAGTAAGAACTCTAGCGGCTGCATTTTGCACTAACTGTAGCTTGTTTATTGAGGATGCAGGACAACCAGCTAATAAGGCATTACAGTAATCTAGTCTTGAGGTCATGAATGCATGAACTAACTTTTCTGCATTAGAAACAGATAGCATGTTACGTAATTTAGCAATGTTTCTAAGGTGGAAAAAGGCAGTTCTTGTAACATATGAAATATGATTTTCGAAAGACAAGTTGCGGTCTAGTATAACACCCAGGTCTTTTACTGTAGTCGATAAGGTAACAGGACATCCTTCTAAATTAAAGTTGTATTGTAAGAGATTTTGTGGGTAGTTTTTTGGACCAATAAGTAATACCTCCGTTTTATCTGGATTTAATAGCAGGAAATTACACGTCATCCAGCATTTTATATCTTTAAGACATTCTGTCAATTTTGATGAGTTAGTGTTTTCATCTGGTCGTGATGAAATATATAATTGAGTGTCATCAGCATAGCATTGGAAATTAATTCCATGTTTTCTTATAATATTACCAAGTGGCAGCATATATATTGAGAATAGCAGAGGGCCTAACACCGATCCTTGCGGCACTCCATAGTTTACTGACGTTATCTTCGATTTTTCCCCATTTAAACAAACAAAATGGTAACGGTCCGATAAGTACGATCTGAACCAGCTTAATGCCTGTCCCTGAACACCAGTGTAGTTTTGTAGTCGATCCAAGAGTATTTTGTGATCTATAGTGTCGAACGCAGCGCTAAGATCGAGTAGAACTAGTATTGAGATACAGCCTTGGTCAGAAGCTAAAAGTAAATCATTTGTAATTTTAACTAGCGCAGTTTCTGTGCTATGATGTGGTCTGAATCCTGACTGAAATTTTTCATATATCTCATTTTCTTGCAAGAAAGAGCACAATTGAGCGGACACAATTTTTTCTAGTATTTTAGACATAAATGGAAGATTTGAAATGGGTCTGTAATTTGCTAAGTTATTTTGATCTAATTGCGGTTTCTTAATAAGAGGTTTTATAACTGCCAGCTTGAATATTTTTGGAACATGACCTAAAGATAAAGACGAGTTAATAATATTAAGAAGAGGCTCTTCCACTACAGGTAACACTTCTTTCAGTAGTTTAGTGGGTATTGGATCTAATAAACATGTTGTTGGTTTAG